CAGAGAGACAGAGAGACACACAGAGAGACAGAGAGAGAGAAAGAGAGATGGTGGGAGAAAAAAAGTTTAGCAGAAAATGAGACAAGACCAGCTCTTTGTCAGAGGGAGAGGTTTATTTGCACAAAGGTTCCGTAGCGATTGGTCAAGCAAAATCTGAACCCCGAAGGGCAGTTGTTTACAGTCTTTTATACTCTTAGCCAACTTATCGATCATCCCCAAATACCTGGCCTTCCTGTGTCATGTAGACCCATTTCCTGTGTGATGTAGGCCTCGTACACAATCTCCCAAAACAGAGACATGACATTCATTACTCATTTACCTCCCACAGGGGGTATTGATACCAATATCCTGTTACTCCTGTCTCCAATTTTTAGTATGTTTGTTGAGGTGGATGGCAGAGAGCAGAATCATGTCTCTAACATTTTTCAGAGCTGTCTATTTTTGAGAATAATGCTTGAGTACCTCAATGGTTGACTTTGTTTTGTTTGCGTTTTAATATTTCTCTAGGATGCCAGCCGCCTGTTGCAGATAGCCAAGACCATTTCATTTTATCACAAGTTAGTTCAACAGCTGAGGAAGTTTGAAGCAATCAAAGAAAATTCAAATTTTTTCTCTCAGTTTGAAGATATCGATGTTAACCTCCGAGATCTTGGTCATCAAGTGGATTACCAGGTAGCTTACCATTTTTTTCAGGGGGTGTAGATGAGGGAAAGTTGTCTTTTGGTTTTGGCTGTGTTACTCAGCTTTCATTTTTCTTATAGATTACACTTTGGGGCCTATCATCTGATACCCAGCCTATATCAATTCCTCGGATCCTTCAAAACCGCAATCAATGGGCGAACCGCCAAGAAGTATATATTGTCCTTCGTTCTCTTGAAAGCTTCCTGGTTCGAGTTGCACGAGATTTTTTGATGCTCAGGATGAGGGTGCCAAAAGTGGCTTTACCTTCCAAGAGTTTCTAACCTTAACATTTCCTGTTTTAAACTCCATCACCTTATTCCAAACAGCTAAGATACCGGGATTCCAGTATCTCAGTGTTCTGTAAATTATCTAAAATATCTAATTTATACATCTATTTATTTTTTCTAAATATTTTATTATTTTAACTTATTTGTTAAAGCAGTGTTTTGACAGGTTCAAATGAGGAATTGTTTAATGAATGCACTTTCTCATGACAATGTAGACGTTTTTCCCCCCAAAGGTCAGAAAGAATTGCCCGTTAGTTTGCACAGAATTTCAAATATTGTGTTTATCCATAAAAATATGGGTGGCTACTACTTTATCTATTTTTGTAATGGCTATTTACTCAAATGGGCCAGAGAATCTTGAGGGTATCTACAGAAAGATATATAATATATAATCCCAATGGATTATGGAGAAACTATTCCTAAATTTTCTAAAACAGATTGAGTAAATATGCATATGGTATAAACTATATGTTTTGAATGATACTGGCTTTTCTAAGCTTGAACTGGTCATTTCATACTTTTAAATTTTTGTTAATAAAAGTATTATTTTAGTTAAATTTGATTGCCTGATTTATTGGTGGTATCTTTCGCCGATTAAAAGAGAGTTTGTCATTTCATATAGTTGATTAGTCAATTAGTCTGTATTTAAATCTAAAATTCAATGTCAATATATTTAAGCAGTATATAACATTGCATTATATCTGTTTAACTCATATTCATCAGCAAAAGGAAATCTGTTGATGGCTGAATTCACCTGGTACAGGTTTCTTGTTTGGCCGCAATTCCATTGTAAAACTCTTCACCCTTTCCCAAGTCCTCAATCTTGGCCACTTTCTTTTATCTTTCCCCTCTCAGACTCCTTTCTACAGTCAAGAAAATATGATAAGTTCTTATCCATAATCCATAGACTTTGTCCTTCTAATGCTGAGATCTATGCTTATGTAGCAGGGGGGAGGGAATAAACCCTACAACCTCAGGTACTGTCTCTACAACACCTCAGGTACTGTCTTCCACAAAATTTTGATCAACACCAGTTTGCTTATAGAAGCAACAGTTTGACAGGGGACGCCATCACCAACGCTCTACATATTGCTCTGAGCTACCTTGAGAAATCTGGGAATTATGTCAGAATGGTTTTTATAGACTATAGCTCGGCCTTTAACACCATCTTACCAGGAATTCTTATTGAAAAGTTGACTGACCTGAATTTCCCTCCCTTCACTTGTGAATGAATCAAAGACTTTCAGACGGATCATCCACAAACATTAAGGGTTGGGTCCTTTACATCTTCCACACTGAAGCTCAGAGGCACAGGCTCCCCTCAGGGCTGTGTGCTCAGCCCATACCTGTACTCACTGTATACATATGACTGCATATCCTCTGATCTATCCAACATCATAATACAGTTTTTAGATGAAACAACAGTGCTGGGTCTCATAACTGGAGGGGATGAATCAGCATACAGGGAAGAAGTCCAGAAGGTATCCGCTTGGTGCTCAAAAAACAACTTACATCTAAATACTAGTAAGATAAAGAAGATGGTGCTAGATTTCCAGAAGCGCAGAGAGGAATCTGCCCCACTGTATATCGAGAGGGACTGTGTGGAAAGGGTTTCCTCTTTTAAATTATTGGGAATGCTTATTAGTCAAGATCTCACCTGGAAAAACAACACGTCTTTGGTAATTGGAAAGGCCCAACAGAGACTTCATTTCTTTAGAGTCCTGCGAAAAAATCAGGTGGAACAACGGCTGATGACCTTTTTCTATTGGTCCACCATAGAAAGTGTCCTCACATATTG